ATATATATATATATATATATATATATGAGTTGTATACGTATTTTTAAAAAGAATTATACACTAAAAATATACATATGAGGAATCATAATTAGTTGGGAAAGTATAATGTAAACATTCGAAAAATTTAATTGTATAAAAGGAAAAAAATTATTAATTCAATTTAATTGAATTATTATTATTAGAATATTAAAAAATTTTTATTTTTATTCTTTATTTTTATATGAATGATCCTAAATGTTAGGAGAATTATTATTTTTATTAATAAATTTATACAATTCATATAGGTTAATTAATGTGATTCACAAATGCGCATGCGTGTATGCGATATATATATTATAGATCTATATATATATAGTTATAGATGAGTATAGTATCTTTGTAATAATAAAGTAATTCTTAAAGTATAATAATAAAGTAATTCTTAAAGTATAATAATAAAGTTATAAATACAATAATAAAAGTTAAAAAGAAGGAACAAGTTGATATTTTGAAAATTTGTATGTTGAGTATATGATTACACAAATCTAATAGTAATAATCTAAAAATAATAATCTAAAAAATAAATAGAGGAACAATTGGACTTATTGTTATGTGAAAGATATATTCAAATTAACAATAAATTATTTCGTACAGAAAAATGGAAGAAAATACATGGCTCAAAATTCTGTGCCAAATATTTAAATTTTGAACAAAATATTCGTAATATTGCAAATAAGATAATCTTTTGTCAATTCACGTAAATTTGATTTCAACTTTCAAAATTAAATGTGATCGAGCAAAGCATGAAACATAACCAAAAAGAAAGTGTTTGATTTGTTTCTACGAAGAGAAAAGAATAGAGGATAGTTTTTATATTACACGGTTTACATGTAGCTACCTGTACATCAAGTGAAATGAATATTCTGATATATGTTTCAATTATTCGCAAGGGATGGCTGAAAAGGAGGCAAAGATTGAATACGTGACAGAACCTTGCCCTATTAAACCTCGTAAAATAGGGCCACAGAACATAGTATTACGATTGAAACGTCGTGAGACATTTGGTTGCCCTTATCCAGGAACACACGTACACTGTGCCAGACAATTTTATCAAAATGTATTTCCAAATTTCACTGTTATGAATGTGGAGAAACCTCCGTGTTTTCTTAGAAAATTTAGTCCGGATGGTCGTTACTTAATAGCATTTAGTGCAGATCAAACTTCTATAGAAGTTTACGAATATCGTGGTGCATCTGCAGCTGCTGATTTATTAGCAGGCTGTGGAGGCGAATATATTGGCCATAAAAATGACGAATGTAGTTTCAACATTAGAAGAAACATTTTTAGTCGATTTTTTAAGGTGTATTGTGTTATTTCTAATTTTTTAATACTATAGTTTCACTTGGATAATCAATGTTGTAATGGAAAATAAATAACAAGATCTATTATGATATTTATAGGCTAAATGGATTGTTAATGTTGTTCAAAGTAATGAACAGTTGAACAGAGAATGCAGTTTATTTACAGATGATGGCCGTTATGTAATTGTTGGTTCAGCTGCACATATTCCAGATGAACTAAGACCACATTTTTATCAGGTAAAAATATTGTTATATAACTTAGATTGTTAAGTATTGATAACATTAAGTTTTATTCTTTAAGATTTATTCTAACAATGAAGCACTAACTCCAAATCCTAGATCACCACTTGAAGATTATAGCTTACATCTTGTCGATTTACATGGAGGGAAATTATGTGATACTAGGCATTTTAAAGTAGATAAAATATATTTGTCCCACAATCAAGGTAAATATATTTAATTAAATGTTACTTGTGAATATCTATTTATTTTACTTATTCAGATTGTTTAACAAATGGTTTTATTTATGTAGGCCTCTATCTCTATAAAGATATATTGGCAGTTCTGTCTGTACAACATCAAACTATTCATATATTTCAAATTCTTGATGGAATGTTTATTAATGTTAGAACCATAGGAAGGTACCATCTGTACAAAAAGACATTTTTTGTTCTAAATTTGTTTTAATAATTGTTGTTATATTGTCAATAACTTATTTTGATTGAAAACAGGTTTTGTTTAGAGGATGATGCATATTTGGTTAGAAGTGCATGCCCAGGAGTAAACTGTCGGCCATTTAGAGATGTCACAATAAATTGTCTTAAGCATAAATTATTAGTCTACTTATATAAAAGAGCAGCATATATTAGTGATACAACAAAGGATCCATATGAATTAAGACGTTTTTATCAATATTTTGATCAAGTATTGTATAAAATTTAATAGCCCGAAGTATAATAGTAGTTCAAGTATGTGTAATTATAATAAATTAATGTTTCAGTTAAATGCATTACGAATGTGGAAAATGCAGTTATTAGATACAAATCATATTCTTGTAAGATTTGCAAGTGAAGAAGTGGCGACACTTCAAGCGAATGAACCTAATGTACAACCTGCACTTTTGGTAGTTTATGATATGGTTACTGCTAAAATATTAGCTGCATATGATAATACATCCACACAATTATTAACACAATTTGAAAACTTCAGCGATTTCTTTAGAAATGCTAGAATGAGCGGTGACTGTCAATATATGTGTTCTCCATCTAATAACATATATGCAAGGTATAATATTTACGAGAATACAATGTAATATACAAGATATTTCAGTATATTACAAATTAATGTGAAATATGTAGCTTTTCCGAATTTTATATTTTCGAATTTTATATTTTGAGAGTCAATTTTCAATTTTCATTGTTCGAACGCCAAAGAACTGGATATTTTTACACACACACATACATATCACATGTATTTCTTTGTTATACAATTTTTGGAAACTCTATGTAATTATCAAGTGAATCAAACATAGTAATGTCTTAAAGTATAATATTCGATATGATGTAACTTCATTATCTTGGAAATTTGCATTACTCATATGAATCAGCACATTGATATTTAAAGCAACAAATGCTATGCTATTAATTTGATATATAAAAAATGAATTTTTATAATTTTTGTTTAATGTAAAAATTGTTAATAATGTGGCATGATTTTCCAAAGTTTAATCAAATTATTTTAAGTTGAATTTTATTAGGGCTTTTACAAGTTTTAGATAAGAAAGAAACTTTGAAGTTTGCTAAAAATTATAAAATATAAATTATTCACATAAAAACAGAAAAAATAATTTGTTTTCAAAATAAAAGATAATAATGTTGCGAACTACGAATGATGTAAAAATTAACTTTCAGTTATTTTTTGGGAAATTGTTATCAAATAAAATATTCTTTGTTATAATAGTAATACTAATGTTATTTTTCACATAAATTCGTTATTTTTTTACATTATTATTTAACTATCGATAATTTTTAGAATAATTAGATTATTCCTCCTTTTTGGATTTTACATTAATTATAAAAATCTCGCTGATTTGTTAACACTTTTCATATTGTGATAAAATAAAGAAATTATACAAATTTCATTTTTTACAGGTAATAATGTATTCATTTTTTTATTGTTGCTTTGAGTAAATAGAATAAATGTCCAATGTATCCAATGTAATCGAGTTCGAACAATTACTAATAAGAAACTGCCAGTGATCCATAAAATTAGTACAATTTATTACTAAATATTACTTAAATACAGTATAATTTTATTGTAAGTGTACATGTTTTTGAAGTCATAGTAATTTATAATTCAATTACAGATTGTTACAACAGAGGTTTAAGCAAACAATAATAAGTGCCAGGTATGGTGGTGTTACAGAAGCTACAAAAAGATTACTTGCTCAATTGCCAATATGCGCTCAATCTTATTCAAGTTCTCCATATCTAGATTTATCCTTATTTTGTTATGATGATAAATGGGTATCTATGATGGAGCGCCCCAAAGCTTGTGGCGAGCATCCTATACGGTATAGTTTTCATTTTACTTCTGATATTTATTTCTGAAATTATTTCCTAAATTTGTTGTATGATGTATCAATTTTATATGAAAAATTGCTATAGATTATTAAAACTACTTCCATGTAATTATTAAAAGTGCTCTTTTTAATAACAATTAATATTTGAACACAATTATTTAATGCTATTGCATTATTTTTAAAGGTTTTACGCTCGTGATTCCGGTCTTTTAAAATTTCGAATGTATGCGGGAATGTTAGGTCGTACAACACCTACATCTGCGAGACGACTAGTTGCATTTACCTTTCATCCAACAGATCCGTTTGCTATTTCTGTTCAACGAACGAATGCTGAATATATCGTTAGTTTCCATGTTAGGCATGTTTAATTTTTCAATTCAGTTTTTCAACGTATTTTAACATTTACATTATCATTTCTCCCATGAATACGATCTCATTGTACAGTTTAGATAATAATTGATAACGTTTTCGAATAAAAAATTATTCAAAAAGTTGATATAAATGTAAATAATTTTATTAAGAACTCACAATTAATCAGAGTTTGTAATTCATTTATACTTTCCTATTCTTCATTAACATTAGAATTGCGTATAACTTTTTAACGTGTATCTTTATACGTACTGTTTATATATATACTGTTTATATATATTCTTATTTATTCTCTTATACTGTACATATCTCTGTATTATATTGATGTTTATTGCAACTTTAATAGTAATTGCTATCTATTGTGCACTTTTATTTCAATTGTTTTAAACTATAAACTTAGCATCTGTATTATTGATTTCAAATAATTTTAGCACGTATTTGACTGAATACTTATATAAAATTAATCGTAAGTTTCTTTGTAACATAACTAGCTGAGTCATCAAATGTCTCAAAAATTTTAAGTCGATGTTTTATGATGTATATATGAATACATATGTATATTATAATCCAGTGTTTAACACATTAGGATTTGGTACTTCTAAATAAAAATTTTGTACATTTAGCCAAATTTCATATCACAATAATTGCATTAAAGAAATAAAACTTTGTTCTTCTATTAATGAAGAAATTTGGAAAGGTTGAAATGTGCCATTTGAAAATAGTTCAACATTATAATTTTTTATATATTGATAAAATTTAAATACCAAAATCTTGTTATATGGTCTTTATTTGATAAAGATATATAGTTAAATTTGATAAAGATACAATAAAGATATGCATACGATAATGAATAAATTGACGTTTTTATGTATATAAGAGGTAAAATTGTGGTACTAAATGATTTATATTCAAGTTTAATAGTTTTAGAAGTTATTACATCGTTTAGAATGTAATTAAATATTAAATGCGTATTTGAATTAATAGGACATTGCTATAATTATATTATTATATAATATTAAAATGAAAATAATAATTGGATCAAATATATTTTATATATTTATAAAGTTTCACATTCAAATTTTGTCTTTTTAATCAAATAAATGTACGCGATAAAATAGTAATCATTTGTAGATAGTTACATGTAAACGAATTACATGTTCATCATCTTTAAAAATTAAATCGACATGAATTAAATTAGAATTTTTTTTTTTTTTGAGAAAATTATAACATTAATTTGTACGCGCGTGCGCGTGCG